GGGGGTAATATCGACTTACGCAATAATATTTTGGGGTAATGGTTAAAAAAGTTTTCCGACCGCTGCTCTAAAATGATATTATACAAATTTTCAAAATATTTTTGTGGATGCGCCGGGATGTATTTTTTTGTTAATTTTATTTGCGTAAAGTTTACAATATCAATTAAATTTTAATGCGTATTTTATGAAATACATTATTTTCTTATGTTCTAAGATTTTTTTATAATTAATTTAAATATCCTTTATATTTTTATTATTGTATTAAGTTTTCTTTTTCTTTTTTAATTTATTGTTTTATAAATATTATTATTATAAATCATTTGAAAACAATAAGTTTATCCTTCTTCCAGAATTAAAGCCAATAACGATTTATGAACAATAGAAATTTTAAAATATTTTTATTCTAATAAAAACTACAGCAAAATAAGAAATTAATTATTTTACAATTGTAAACTTTTCTAATTTCACATTGTTTTTATAAAATGTGTAATGTAAAGAAAATTTTAATAAAACAAACAATAATATGTTTTGAAATGACGAAATATGTATTCCATTTCTTTTACAATGGATATTAGAGAAGTTGTTTACTTGATTGTGGTCGGAAGATAGATAGATAGTAAATATTTACAGAAAGAAAAAGAAACCGGTAATCGCGTTTGACCTCGCGCAGATTACGAACATAGAAACGAGCAGCACTCGATAAATGACAAATTTTAATGGTAACAAAGACGACGCACGAATTCATCGCGCTAATACAACAATCGTCGTAACTGCAGACAATTATGCAATCATCGTTCACTTGTTGTCCAGCTACGCAGCAGACTACATTCCTTACATCCGCTCAAACAGCATTAAAAAAACTGCTTCAAGCTACAAAAGAAAAACAAAAAAAAAAGCATGAACAACATACATAAATAAATATTGACCCCAGATTGCGGACGTATAAATAAATCGTCCGCGATAAACGCAGTTCCAGTCGATTGCTGAGAGCCATGCAGTCCTGCTGTTACTTTTTCCTGCTCGCGGTCCTCGCGATCTCGTCCTGCTGCATCTACGCCAAGGATCTTCATCCTCTTTCCGATGAGTTCATCCATAGCATCAACGAGAAGCAGAGCACCTGGAAGGCAGGAAGGAATTTCGTACCGAATGTTAGCATGAAGTACATCAAGAAGTTGATGGGAGCACTTCCAGAACCCAAAACGTAAGTCTCCTACAAAATTTTCAATCATTATATTGCAATATATTCAAGGAATAGTATAATATTTTGTTGATAATAAAATTCGAGCTTGGAAAATTGAATTTGAATTGCGAAAGTGGAATCACATCAAAATGGCGGTCGATTTTTTAAAATGAATTCTAGGTCACCTTGGATTTGATTATTCGCGTTTAAGTATAATGTTTTATGTTGTTTATTGTTTGCAGCCTTCCTGAGATTGAGCATTTATTAGGCGACGCCGATATACCAGAAAACTTTGATGCCAGAGAACAGTGGCCCGATTGTCCGACGATCCGCGAAATCAGGGATCAAGGATCCTGCGGATCTTGCTGGGTGAGTTATAGATTTAAATGATGTTCACTTAAGAATTGTTAGAATTAATGTGTGAACGTTTCAGGCTTTTGGAGCGGTCGAAGCTATGTCGGACAGAGTATGTATCCACTCGAATGGTCAGGTGAACTTCCGTTTTTCTGCCGACGATTTGGTTTCTTGCTGCTGGACCTGCGGAATGGGCTGCAACGGTGGATTTCCCGGCGCCGCCTGGCATTACTGGGTCAGGAGCGGCATCGTTTCCGGCGGAACCTACGATTCTCATCAGGCAATAACAATTAACCATTAAATTTGAAAGGGTTTATTAATATTGATGTTTCTTCTTTTGTAGGGTTGCAGACCGTACGAGATCGCTCCATGCGAGCACCACGTGAACGGATCGAGGCCGGCTTGCGACGGCGAAGAAGGATCCACTCCGAAATGCAAGAAGGAATGTCAGCCGGGCTATAAGATTTCGTACGCTCAGGACAGACATTTCGGTAAGAAGGCGTACACGGTGAAGAGCAAAGTGGAGCAAATCCAGAGAGAGATTATGATGAACGGACCGGTCGAGGGAGCATTCACAGTCTATGAAGATCTGCTGAACTACAAGAGCGGCGTTTACCAGCACGTGACCGGAAAGGCCTTAGGTGGACACGCCATCAGGGTGTTGGGCTGGGGAGTCGAAGGTGGAAGTCCCTATTGGTTGATCGGCAACTCGTGGAACTCGGATTGGGGCGACAACGGATTCTTCAAGATGTTAAGAGGAAAGAACCATTGCGGCATCGAAGGCTCCATCACCGCCGGCCTCCCCAAATAATTTATACAGCAAACGTTCAATACAAGAGATAAAACGCTTAAGAAACGCCCACGATCCTTTGCATTTCATTCCTGTTTTCTTCTTTACTTTTCATTACTTTATTTCTTCATCCTTTCGCCGAAGAGCGCGATAGATAAGGCTCTCCGTATGTTTTTCCCTCCCTATCTAGAATCTTAGAGACACACTCGCTTAGCATAACAATTTGTTAAGTTATGGGCGAAGAGAAAGGGCGCTTTCGGACGAATGTAATAATAATAGTGGTTCGGTTGTCGGCCTACGCGTTACGGAAGCCATCCTGATCTTATCTGAAAACGCAGGTTAAAGGTCACGGTTCAACATACAGAAACGCAATGTTCATCAGCAATTACAGTTTAATTATACACTAATTACTAAACACTAGCGTTTACATTAGATAGATTCAATGTCTAATAACAATGAAGAAGAAGAAAACAAATTCAATAAATAATGTTACTAAAAGAATTTTGTTTTAGATAAAAAAATAATTGTTATAAATTTGTCTATTAAATGCGCTTAGATTTATTAATGATGTACATTATTAATGAGAAATATATTATTCAGTTACGTTAAACAATAACAAAGTTTTATTAAATTAAATTAAATAGTGTATGCAACTTTATATGCACTTCCACATACATTTTGCATATGTAATCAAGTTAACGCAATGTTATTATTCTTTAATTAATATAATTTTGAATAAATTAAGCGGTTGAAGAGGAAATATCAATTAAAATAATTACAAATATATATATTTTTGTTACTTTTAAATTAATATATTAGTTATAGAAAGGATAAGAATATATAAGGATTTATGTTAATTTATGTTTATGTAATGTAAAGTTATTTTTTTTGTGTGTATATACTAACAGGGTAATAATGGCATGTTGTAATCTTGTATTTAGATGGTTATAAAATTTTGCAGGAAGTACGAGTGAAATGTAATATACGAGTTGCAAAGTTTATATTTTCTTGCGTAATTGGTGCCACGAGTGTACACGAAAACATAAAGTTGACTTTTAGAAAGTAAAGCGATGAACTTAACGAGGCTGCGAGTATGTAATTATGTTTTGATTAGAACCGAAGATGGTGTAAAATGAAATCCGCGATCGGCTTGTTTATACGCGTATTGCGAGGGGCGAAATAAACCAACAACAACAACGAGAGAAGAGAAAAAAAAAGAGACACACACAGATGTTGTTATTAAGCCATAAAGTAAAGAGTGCGGATTAATTTATCGGTCGTCGTGTTTGCACGCCTTCGCCCTCGGAATCGTGCCCGAGATGCGGTGGACCTCTAACTCTTATCCTCGTGTGTTTTGCCCGAGACTGGAGAGTCGAGTCCAATAAGCCAAGAGCAAAACGAAGCAGAAGAGGAAAGTTGCGAATTATTACCAGGGAAGTCGATCTTTATCAATTCAAATTGCGCAAACATCTATATATAAACACACAGAATACGTTCAGAAAGAGGTCAATTAAGCTCTTTAAGTTTTCAGTTTACTTCTGGAAGGAGGCAAAGCGGTAATCTTCATTGGTGCGCCGCAAAACCACGCCTTTTCCTTCGTCTGGATCTCTGTGATCCTTGCGGTTTTCGCTCATTATCCGCACCGGTTTGAGGAAAGAAAAAAGAGAATTAGAAAAAGAAGGAGGAAGAGACGTTATTTAATAACAAGCTTCTGGAGTTATAAATAATATCCGTTTGCGGGCGCAAGGCACACCCTGCGCGGCGCCCTTTGAGGGCGTCGCTGAGGAATTGCCTCGGGATGGGATTCTGATTCGGTCGTCAGGTAGGATGTGCCCACCTTTCTGGGGGCATCCGGAGGAAGATTCACTCCGCGCCACTATCAACTCAATTCTCACTATCTACCTGATAGATGGACCTATCCAATTTACGCACTTAAATTGTACGAAGGAAACACCGAATACTTAGGTGAACCACTAAAAGCCCTTATAAATTAGGACAAGTAATGTCTCCATTCTCATGTCTACAAAGAAACAAAAAAAAAACGTAAAAAAAATACTATTTCGTTCCTCGCCAGATAATTGAAGTAGATGTACAACTGTAGACAATGTTGTATTATTTGCTTTTTAAACTGCTCAACGACCGAAACCACTGAATCTTCTGCCTTCATTTAATGTGCATTAGTATTACGTAATTAAAGAACTGTCGTCAAGCGCGACGTCTTAAATAAATTAAAAATGATTCTGTTACATCGACATACCAAAACGCAACGATTGTTACATTCGTTTACGATGTGCATCAATTGGAATGCCAAATCAAAAAGGTAGAATAAAAAAGCAGAGTACAAAATCGCATGTAAATGTCCTGCGTTCGGAAACGAAAGTGGGTTAACGTATTGACTATGCAAACATTACGGCTCATTATCCACTTCAATAAAAAAAAAAAAAAAAAAGAGTCCACTCGAAATGTTCCCTCGTTTCGTTTTTTGCGAGTGGAAGAGATGCAAAAGAAATGCACATAGAAGGAGATAGAGAAGAAGATTGAGTACGTAACAGATTGAGTGCAAGAGAGAGAGAAAGGATAAAGTAATTGAGACGTTTCGCAGACAAACCAACCGGTTGCCTTTGCTGTTTTTCTCGCGATCTTCTTCATCCTCTTATTCTCCGATAATGCAAACAAAACGGAGGAAACGTAGAGGGAAAAATAAGAACCCGTGTTTGTGCATGCGGAATTTGTTTAAACAAATGCAAATGGGATTAGCGAAATTGTATGCAATCATCTCTGGCAATTTGTGCGCTTCGCGCCGTGCGAAAATTACTGTAATAAACGCCGCCGTTTTGTAATTGGAGTCGGGCGTACGTACACACAGTAAGAGAGAGAAAGAGAATGATTCTTCCTCTTGTAATTCTGCATGCAGCATGCATTTGCATGATTTACGAGAATTGTGGATCATACTTTTCTATGATGTTTTTGTTTGCAATTTGCTCTTTTGTTCAGATTTTGGTAACTTGATGAATACTAGATTTAGATAATTAAAAGGGTACAAATAAAGTAAAATTACTTTAAAAGGCAATAAAGAAATAAAAGTAACTTAAGAGAGACAAGGCTTGCATGGATATGTTTTTTTTTATAAATGCAACTGTGAGAGTCGGTTGGGACATGAACGAGAGCAAAGTCGCGATTGAAAATTCTAGTTCGTGATCGCTCGAAAAACCAAACGATCCGAGGAGAGTGACAAGCACGACACTTTAACGTGAAAGGCCATTCATTCATTCATTCATTCCATCATCCCGTAATCATTCTCTCTGTCCCTCTTACCTCTTCAGAAAACCGAACCAAAGTAAACCAATGCGAACGTTATCATTGGAAAATAGCAGCTTGTAGCAGATTCATCCAATTACCGTATCAATTGGAATACATTTCGTATATTGTGAGGATTGAAGAGGATTAAAGTGGGAAGCCACAAGTATTGTTCGTTTAGGATATAGTGTGCTAGCTGGTTAGATTGTGCAGTCAACCACCACCGGTAAAGCCATTTTTGGCTCGCTAAGGCGATTAAGGGTCGAAATACTTGCTGCAAATGAAGAGGTCACGGGGAAATGGCAGCAGCTGTCATCGGGTGAAGGAGGAGGAGGTGAATAGGGTCGTTCGAGAGCAGATTAAGGGATTAATGTGGCCACTCTCTTTCCCTCTTCTCTCTCATAAATTATGTACGAATTTCTATCCAAAAGGAAAGGAGAACAGAGCAAAAGAGTAGAGACACACCGAGTGCGTTATATAGCTCGGATAGTTTTATCTCGTTGGAACGTTGGCGACTTTATTATATTGCTCGGTCGTGTAATGATGGCCAGATAAAAAACTTACATGTGTTCTCCGTGCACGTAACGCGCGCTTCTCCGCTCGTTTTATTATTTCCACTCTTCCTCCTATATCTCTCTCTCACTCGCTCTTCACCTCTTCAGACTCCATCGTTACTCTCCGCCAGATCTATCTATCTATCTTATTAGACGAGATTTAGAACAGCCAAAACAGAAAACCGCAAACCAAAACGAGCCGATCTCAGCAAACTGTACTTCTTCTCCCATGTTCTCCCTCGTTTTTCGTTTCTCCTTATGCGACACGTGTTAACATTTCATTGCGCTCAACACCTAAAGCAAACTAACGAACTCAACATCTTGCAGCACCAATAAACAACTGCCTCCAACAGAATGCACACAAGAATATCATTTTACTACTTCATATTTTAACAAAACCAATATACATTTTTGTTTTCTCTTTCAAATTTATATAAATAAGTAACACATTTCAAAGTATAATATTTATAGTATTAATTCCTTAGCAATTCTAGATTTAATTAAGTAATTATAGTAATAAACATTTTGATTCTTAAATTTTATATTAGTTTATAATTATAAGATTACTAATAAAAAGGAAACGTAGAAGAAACTGTATAAAAGTGTGGGATTGTTGTTGTGTCTGATATTTCAATTAAAACTGGGACAAAATGACGATTGTTCTGCATGGGATAAATGTAGCAAGACATTTTATTCGATTCACGTGGATTAACCGAAACAGTTACTGAAACGATTCGTGAAGGAGCGCAAACGAAGAAAAAAGCATCGAAGAAGTCAATACGAAGAGACCAATTTATTTCAATTCGATTTCGGAGTAAAGGAAAAAAGGACGAGGTAAGTGGAGTGGACTGAAGCACCGAAAGGACAGAGACGATGAGCAGAAGGAAGAGGAGGAGGAGGAAGAACAAAACAAATGAAATGTGTATACATATCGGAATGTCTCAATTAAATCGGTAAAAACGTTTCGGGAACTGAACGGTTTCTACTTGGAGGTCTCAATTACAATTACGACGGGAAAAAACCGCCGCCGCCGCCACCGCCGCCGCGTCCCAAGTGTAACAGAATAACTTTTCGGCCAATGCACTAATTAAAGGCCAATCCACTCTGTACGACCAATTTTCGCTCGACAAAAACCAACGATTTTCACCTTCACATTTTATTTGTTTTTTGTTTTGTTTTATCGAGCAAATGAAAAACCAGCAGTCGTCTTTGTTCGTGCTTTGTTTGCTTGCGAAGGAACGATTGAAAAGCCTTTTTTTGAAAAGTTCCATCGCATGCATCGATCGAAATCGACCGGATTCATCCAGTCGGAAATCCGAGATGAATGAATAATTTTCAGAAAGGGTTTTTCTCTCGATCCAGTGGATATAATCAATTGATTAATCAATTGTGTGTGTGTGTGCTTTGCAAACAAACAAATTTCAATTCATTATTTCGAATTTTTATTTCCCTTTTAATTCAATTCAATTATGCATTGAATTCGATTTTGCAAACAACACCCCATTCTTTCTTTCTTTATTTCGCTTCTCGTTTGTTTTTCAAAGTCCTTCCTTCTGGCAGTTTT